ACGTTTCATTAAAGAAGAACCCATCCAGAGGACCTATACAATTTTTTTTCCTTTTGATTTTTATTTTAGTTTCATTGCTCTTTGATTCACATCAGAATAACATGAATGACCAGGTAAGCAGCGCTGACCCTTGCTTTAGTGCAGTTTCCACCTTTTAAATTGATATTAAAAATTACACCACTATGATGCCAAATTTTTTACTATTTTTTTCTTACAGAAGGCATTATTTGTCTTAATTATAAAACACTACCATTGTTTATTTTTGAAGCCATCAAGTGGCTGAAGTCTGCAGGTATGTTTTCATAAGTAGATCCATAATCTTCCAAAATAGTCTATTTAAAAACCATTCAGATTACTTGTGTAGGTGACTTTTACATAAAATACATCATAAAATGCTTTAAGAGTTACTTTTAGTCACAAGCGGTAACCATTTCATTTGAATTCTATCTTGATGAGAACTGAAGCCTGTTTAGGAACCTGAAGATTAATTTCTGCCAAACGCTTCGCCTCCCAATGACCTCATATATTTTAGGATGAGTTTTCCAACAAATCTCATCTTCTTTGCCATGTCAGCGAAATCAAGACATTAATGCCTAGATTTCACTGACAAAACTCCTAAAGTTTTAGTTGTCTGTAATTACACACGTCATTAAATCACACATGAAATATTGTTAAAATTTACCAGACAAATTTGTCTGCGGGGAAAAAAAACGACACAAACTAATAATTTCTGTATATACTATATCATTTTTGCCCTACCTGCTGTGTAGCATGACTGTTCTAGCAAAAATATTGTGTATTTTAAAACATTAAAACTGTTATTTTAACATTTATTTATTAAGAAAACACATACATGCATTTAGATAAATGTTATTTTTATTCAGAATACCCTCTGTACATATATGGTAATGCCCACATTTCTTTAGCAATACAAAAACAAGAAAAATGAATAAATAATATAAAATAACAAAAATGAAAAGTTAGGATTTGTGGAGGCTTCACTCAACTTTCATTTACCTTCCAATTCATCAGACTTGGTCCAAACAGTTTTTTTTACTAAAACACTTAAACACAGTGAAAAAGACCACAATATGCAACAATAAAATGTAAACTTTGCTGGTGTTGTGCAGTAGGAATGTAATGTTAAATGTTAAGTGCAACTTGCTGCTTCAGAATCAGAGAAAATCTTTCTCTGTAGAAACAAAAATGCCCTCTTAAGGCAGTTTTTAACATTTCAAAGACCTAACAAGTTAAGGCACCACTGCTCAGGCTTCTGTGCAGCCTCGAACATCTCCGCAGACTGTGATGCAGCAGTTTGCACTTCAGTCGCTGAGAAGATCCACTGACTCCATCTGCAGCGCCTCGTCCACGCTGTCTGTGTACCTGAAGCCCTGCAGATCAGCTGCTAGAAGAACCTTCAGTACGGAGTTCTGAACAACAAGGGAAACAGACAGGAACACATGAACAAATACTCCATTAGTACTCAAAAAAAGCTGTGAAGACTGAGAGATGTACCTGCACTCCTGCAAATGTTAGTGTGACTTTTCGCAGTTCGAACTGCCTCAGCAGGTCCCTCAGCTCACTGATCACTGTGTAATCTATGGTGCTCACATGATGCCAGTCGAGCACCACTGACCGTGGAGGAAGCACTGACAGAGACATGAATGGGTATGTGAATGACAGAGGAAAAGAAACCATCTGACGATGAGACGAAGACCTCCTTACCCTGCAGGGCCTGACTGTGCATGATGTGACTGAGATGCTCTACTGCAGGAAAGCTGAGGCCACTGCTGACCTCCATCACCACCACACCATGATCAGACACCTGCACATGGCAACAAACGTTAACACACAAAGAGCTGCTGTTACAATTGACAGTGAGGAGTACCTGATACTTCTGTGACTAATGTCAGCTTTCATTTAAGACAAAAAAAAAACTGCTGAAGGTCCCAACGTCTGGGGTTCTTAACCTTTTTGACCTTGGGGCCCAATTTGTTGAACATAAAGAGGCACGAGGCCCAGTCAGACATTGCCAATGTATGGATCAAAATGAGAACTATTCTAAATCTTGGTTTAATTTTTATTGTATTTACATCATAACTATCATAACTAACATAACTAAATTAAATACACTTACAATTTAAAAGTAAAACTCCTGTCAAATAATCACAAGACATGATTATGACAAACATTTTTATATTGTAACCTGTCCAAAACAATTATTAGAACAAATACAAAGGTCAGTCAACAGACCACTCAGGCTTATCAACACAATATATA